TGATGTCAGATTTGTGTCCATTAATTCTTTTGCATAGAGACTGTCCAGTTTGGCCAATGTACATGGCAAAGGGGCATTGCTGAGCCTCTAAGGTGCCACAAGTACTCCTGTTCTTTTTAGTAGTGGTTGGTGACCATGTGGTCTGGTTCATAGAGAATCCCAAATCCTAATGCTAGCTGAGCCACAAAATTCACTTTGTGATGATAGGTAACTTGTCATTTGATCTCTTTGTACATCTAAATTGGTAGTAAAATGGAGAACCTCACTGAATGCAGATGCTGCATTTGGCTGTGTTGGAACTGTTTTTACAGCCTTTAATGTTGATATTGGAATTTTTCTCACACTGGTTGAGATAGGAAAGCAGAAACTTAATCCTTCCTCACATGCAGTGTTGGGAGGTCTGGCTTTTGTGGTAGATTGAAGTGATCATTCTAAAATAAACTGAAAAAAGTAATAATTCTCATGTGAATTCTGAAGCCAAACAAATAAATCCATGCCACTTATGGCATTAAAATTCACTGTCAGTAGAGGCAATAAGCAAGGAGTTGGGACAGAGAAGTCCTTTATACACACTTATATTCTTATGTTCACCAGCTTGATACTATGGTGATAGGTGCTCTCTAAGGCACTGATCTTGAGGGAAAACTCCCATTGACTGCAGTGGTAGAACAAGATTAGACTTCAATTATTTAAGATCAATAAATAGAAAAGAGTAGCGTAGGAGAGAAAGGGTAGAATAAGAGTGACCATGATGGGGTGGGAGTGCATGGAACAGATTAATAAAGTTACATTAACTTTATGGTAAAAAGGGGAATATCCCGAAAACAGTTTGGGTAAGACTGGGTGATGGGGGGAGGAAAAGATTGAGAGGATTCAATGACACAACAGACATAAAAAAAGAAATGAGAAGCCACAGAGAAAGACACAATACCCAGAGGAAAGAGGGGAAGAATCATCCTTCAAAGAAAGGCAGCTCTGGAGAAGAGGAGAATGTTACTTTTTAAGGAGTTGCAAGTAGAGTGTACCTAGAGTTTTCCTAGTCACTGGGCAGCCCACCAATAGGTCAAAACTCCAGAGGCAAACTGCATTGAATTCATAACCTGATAGAGAGAGTGGGGGTGAAAGATAGTGGAAGGATGAAGGCAACACATTTTTTTCAACAGTCCTGAAACTTGGCTCCCAAGAAATATAAAATCGTATTCATTTTTTCTTATTTTCCTGTTTTTTAAACCAAATATGCATTTTCCCCTAATAATCTCCAAATTAATTGCATTTGCAGAAGTCACAGTAGAAGATGTAAAGGAATGTCTCGGTTATCATTTAGATGTTAGTCTAGTAAATAAAGAGTTGGATTTCAAAGGTCATGTAAAAGGTGGTAAATGTGAAAGCATCAACGTGAAATCAAATTGTAAGTATATCTTTAGTTTATGTGTGATCAAAACTGCAAACTCTTTTGCTTACAGAGAGAGGATATTGATTTCTTCCTTCTTTTAAACCAGTTAAATGTCTACAATAATATAGTATTCGCAAAAGGCTGAGGGAGAAGGATTCAATGCCAAGCACAGGACAGGCAGGTGTTGCAAGCTTCTCTGCACTGCTCTGTTCATGCAACTCAATTCTTAGCTGTGCTACCCAGGCCAGTCTAACCTTTGTCCTTTCCTTGTACAGGTCAGGTGATACTATGGCACTCATTAAATAATGTGTACTACACCCATTTCTGTGACATCTGGTGTACCCACCTGCCCATCCATGCCATGCTAACCCCTTAGAAGTCACCATTTTTTTCTTGTTTTTTGGCATTTTGGTGTGATTGCAAAATTCATAAAATGAGATTTCTCTCAAATGATGGAGAATAAGCAAAGTTTGAGATTTCACCACAATCTCATAGGATGGAATCTTCCTTCTAGTCACTTTGGGGAGACGTGAGCTGATTTGTGCTAGAATCTGTGCAATTGAACTTCCAGTCATTCTCTCTCTCTTTCTGCAGACACTCATGATGATGACGCAGTTATTGATGACATCATTTCTTTGGTTGAGGGAGGGAAGATTGATTTTTCTGTTAAAATAAAAGAAATGTTACTGAGGAATGCCAAAGTGGTTGATGTAGAGGATTATATACAGTGGGCTACCTCACTGATAGATGCTCCAGTGGTGATACAGCAGAAGGTAAAGAGAGTTTCTCCTAGGCCAAGTATGTTACAAATTCATATATCATAATTACCTGTAAAATGTCCCTTTCCTATGGTGGGAAAAATATCAAGAATGACTTTGCTTACCATTAACTAGTAGATAGTTTCTTCATCTTAGTGCATCTTGGTAGCTTTGGTCCTTTTTAATGGATTGGTAGATTCCAAGACCAGAAGGGACCACTGTGATCATCTAGTCAGACCAGGCCATAGAACTGCCCTGAAGTAATTCTTGTTTGAACTAGAATGTATCTTTTAGAAAAATAAGATAGGGTACACGTTGAGCAGAAATGAACAGAGCATTCCAGGTGATGGGTGCACTGTTGATTTATTTATATAAGAATGTTATAGTCAATATCATTTTCCAACCCATTCTTTGGATGAAGACTAAGTCAGTGGGCTCTGTAATGTATTTTGGGTGCAACTATGGGGATCTGAATCTTGAGCTATCTGGTCCGCATGCCATTGCTGCAGGATTAAAATAACCCATGTCCAACAGTTATACCAGATACATGGTGCAAACTATAAGTAAGGAGACTTCATGTTATCAGAAGAAAGGATTTGTTTAAAATAACTTTTTCTAAAGATTTGTGTAAAAAGTATTTAGACATGATTATAGGGAAAATAATATGTATTATGTATGGGTTTTTTTCCTTTACAGCCATCTCCAATACATACTCTTGTTCCAGTAAAAATGCAAGATGCACATATAAAGAAACAGAATTTGGAAAGAGCCATTGAGGACTACATTACAGAGTACAGTGTGTGCAAATGCGAACCCTGCAAAAATGGTGGTACCTTGTTGCTAGTGGATGGAGAGTGCATGTGCTTATGCTCCAGCTATTTTAAGGGAGATGCCTGCCAAATCCCCAAATCAAGAGCAGATGAAGGTTAGTAGATATTCATGCAGACGTAAATTAACATGTTGTCAGCATGTATGTTGGAGCATACTTTGAAAATATGGTCTTTATCCAGACAGAATTAAACACTATCTGTAAGTTCTTATATCATAGAACAGATTTACACACTGTGCTGACCTATTCAGCTGGGCATGAGGGATGGAAGTTAGTTTTAGCCTGTACAGTATGTCTGTGAAGTGTTAAGTGGAGAAGAGATTCACTTAGAGATTCTCTCTATCCCCTGTCCACTTGTGCCATCATTACTGTGCCTTGTAAAGACATCCAAACCTCTCACGAACAAGAAAATTAACTGAGCAAGAATGTGGATTGGCAATGCCATAGAACCAAAGCAGAGAATCAAGTTCAGGCAAGAAAACCATTTCCATTTTCCTAGCTGGGTTTCCTCCGGTTCTCTGCAAAAGCCCAGTGCTTACAAATGTATGCCTCATGTTGCATGATCACATAATGCAGGCTTACAACTAGATTGGTCCAGTATACAGTAGGTGCCAATAAGCAGGCAGCCTAATATTTCAAGTGCCATCTCTGTCACAAAGTCTCTCTTCTGCTCCAGCCCTGCTACCAACTGTTCCCTGATACCTATTAACACACAGGACAATGGAGGAAAGCAATCTTCTTTTGACATTCTTCCTGGCCTGTAACACTCTTCTGCCCTGTAGTGCTCATCCTTCACAATTTGCCCCAGGCTTCCAATAACTAAAAAACATCACTCAGTATTTGCTGTAATGTAGTAAGTGTAAGGAACAATACAAACACTGAGGTAATCGTAGCTATTTATATAAGGCATTGTCTACATCACCTACACTGGGTTTTTAGCCACTGGTGGAGCTGAACCAGTGCAACCCCCTAGTGTAGGTACAATTTGCACCAACGTATCTTATCCAGTTATATGTCATGGTTGGTTAGCTGCACCAGTGTCTACAACAGTGACTAAAAATTGTCAGCTGGTGTAAATCCTCATAACTCCATGACTTCAATGGTGCTGTGCCAGTTTACACCCACTGAGGATCTGGCCCCCACTGTAGACAAGGCCTGAGGCAAAAATGGCTATTTTTAATGCAGTTCTGCCACGAAAAGTGACTGTGTGGAAATGGCCCCTTCTTATGCAATAGATTTATTCCTTGTGGTCAAGGTTTAATAAAACAGGTGCCCAAAGTGAAGCTCTGCATTTGATTTTTAGACACTTACATATATGGCTGGATTTCCAAAACTGCTGAGCACCCAGAAGTGCCAGTGGCCCTATGTGTTTTCGGCATCCAATCTGTTGGGTTCTTTGTGATGAAAATGAGTTTTTACTGCTTTGGGTTTCTAGAGCCACCATAGTTGAGAGAGTGTGGGCTGAATTCTGTTCCATCTTGTGCTCTTTCAAAATAGTTACTTCCTGAATTTCAAATAGTTGCACCTGTGCCACTACACCCAAGGCAGCAGGTTGCTGGACTAATGCTGGTTTGGCCCAATACAGATAAAAAGGTCACTGATGGGGGCTGGAGCTGTTGGACTGCTTGGTCCCAATGCGTGCAGGGAGAACACACTCGAACTCGTCAGTGTAATAATCCTGCTCCAGGACCAGGGGGCAGGCCATGCCAAGGTGACAGCATCGAAAAAAGCTACTGTTCTCAGGCAAAATAATTGTACAAGTCTAAAAAAGGTGAGTAGCACCTCATTGTGGTGGTAATGTATTGTTGCCCCTTAGCCCAAACAGTATTTGGTGCCTTACAGGTTTTTTTTCCAGTAGAAGGAGAAATTGATGACCCATGTCAGGTATTCTTTGGTGCAATCCTGTTTGTTTACATCTGCTTTCTCCCTTTCAGCTGGCTTTCTCTGCTTTCTGCCTCTCTCACACAAATGGCTTGCTAAACCATCCATTAGCTGCTGTGTTTGCAATCAGTCACAGGGAAATCTCTCAGCCCACACAGTTTAACCTCTGGTGGGCCTTGCCATGTGGTACACTGACTTGGGTAGTGAATTTCTATTGTTTCCAGCTATTACTGCATAAAGAGGCATTTAGTTGCTCCTTCCATTTTGCCTGAAGGAAGGGTGGTTAGCACCGCTATGGCTTTAACAAGGTCTGTGTGTGTCTAGATCAGATCTGCTTGGTGGCAGCCATTAACACCTTCCAACATATAAAGTGTATTTAAATGAAAAGGTTGTGCTGCATCATGACCTTTACCCCTCGCAAAGCAACCCCAATGGAAATATCTATGTGTGCATCATACATATGAAATAAATAAACCCTGTTAAATATCCGAATTAGATCCATGTTCTGCAACAGTGTTTAAAAACTCACCTTCCATCTTGTGTCTGCAGTTTTTGGATGCAAATAATTGTGTGCTCAGTTATGGTGCACCTGCAAATTGGGTAGTTGGGCATCTTTATGACCCATGTTGTGCTCACAAAATTGCAGGCACACGAATGGAGATCTGGCTAAGTCCAGGCTGAAAATTGAGCCCTTAAATTCCAGTTAGACTCTACATCACATAGAGAGAGAGACATACAGAAAATGGGAGACAAACAATGGAGTTAATCTCAGTTCAAGTTGAAAGTTCTTAACCCTGAATTTTCTTATTTGGTGAGTTTAATAAGACCTCCTAGTATTACTTTAACAGGAGTTTTGAGTCTTCCAATTTGAAAATGATGAAAACAGTTTTTTATTGAAATGGGGGGGGGAAACCCTGCAAAAAACAGCAAAAATGTAGGAAAGGCCTGTAAGGTTTTTCCGGTGCAAAGTGGCTTTAAGCCAATAGGGACCAGCCACTGGAGAAGTCCCCCACGACATGGGGAACTCTCTGTTGGTAAAGGTAGCTGCACTGCTCCCTGTGCCAGCTCGCTCTCACCCACAGTGTCAGGGGAAGGAGGGACATGTTGCTTTCAGGGCGTAGGCAAGACTGGGAACAGAACTGGCCTGCTGGAATGCAGCTCAGCCATGTCGTCTTCTAAAAGTGTAACACCTCTGAGGGCATTCATGCCCGTGGTCTAAGTTAGAGCTTGTGTGGGGGCCACGCATCCCTCAACAAAGGAGCCACATCTCCAGCACCTTCTCTCCATTCCAACTAACTGTGAAGTCCCTAAAATCACAGGAGCCGCTTTATTTTACTCCTGCAATTCACAATTGGCCTGTTTATAACACAGTCAGGAAGGTAAATGTCATAATAATGTACACTGAGCCTACATATCCAAGTATGTGTCCTACTGTATTGCACAATCAAATCACCTTACCAAATTAAAATACATTGAGGGTGGGAAGGGATAGCCCAGTGGTTTGAGCATTGGCCTGCTAAATCTTGGGTTGTGAGTTCAAGCCTTGAGGGGGCCACTTAGGGATCTGGGGCAAAAATCTGTCTGGGGATTGGTCCTGCTTTGAGCAGGGGGTTGGACTAGATGGCCTCCTGAGGTCACTTCCAACGCTGATATTCTATGAGGCCCTGGTTTTCAGAAAAGTTAAGCATCCATAACTCCAGCTGAAGTCAGAGTTATAAGGGCTCAGCACTTCTGAAAAATCAGGCCTTCTTTGACTTGTTCAGTCTACATTAGAACCATATTCGAGAGACACTAAGATCATGTTCCCAGTAAGCTGTTACATTCACCTACTTAAAATAAGGCAAACTATCTGATTGACATGATAGCTACTCTCTATGTGAATTCTCTAATATTCTTTCTTTTGACAGGTGTTTGTTATGAAAACAATACAGCCTTCAAAGGCATGCACGAACTCTGCAATTATTCTACCGCTCAAGCTTCCTGTTGGCAGAAGGATTGGAATTGAATGCTTCATGAGTGCCTATACCTTGAACAATCGCTAATCAAAAACAAAATAAGATAAACATGGTTAAGGAGATTAGCTGTTGTGATTGGTGTTCAATGTGCATTTTGCTTTGCTTCCTTTTAGCACTGGGATACATGCTACCCAATGCCTCCAAGAAAAAAATAATTTGTCATTATTGGCAAAAAAAGGAGAAGTATTGATGTAAATCATTTACATATTTTGTGGCTCTTGACTTATTGTTTCCTAGATCCGTGTTGCTCAGCTAGGAGGGGCATTATCTGCAAGTGGGTAGCCTGGGGCTGCAGGACTGGCAGTGTCCTGCCTGGAATTCGTGATGATCAAATCTCAGATGATGTGGGTAGGCAATGACAAGTTCCCACTCCCTCTCTATGACATGACAGATACCCAGCTTTAGCCACTCCCCACAACCTCTTCCTCAGGCCCCCTTGCAACTTTCCAGACAACCTGCCAGGCTCCCAACTTGGACCCTCCCCAACTCCCCAGCTTTACTGGCTTCTTAATGTTCTTCTCTGTCTGTTCCAGCTTTCTTCCTTGCTCTCTTCAAACACAGGTTCTGTACTCAACTAGCAGAGTGAGGCATAACATTGAAAAAAATAACTTACGTATGACAATCAAATCATTTTCTCATTGACCAAAATCTAACCTGCCTTTCATCTGTTTGTTTACTGTTGGTTATAGCTGTAACACAAAAATTAGTGGGCTTGATTCATATTTATACTAAGGCTTCCTTTACACTGCAAGAGCAAATGAGAATGTAGTTCAGAATATTTTTGCATACATCAGACATGAGGAAGTACCCCTGATGGTAACTCTCAGTACTTAGTGTAGGAAAGAGGGTGGCCTAGTGGGTGGAACACTGCATTGGGACTGGGTTCTATTCCTGACTCTGCCACTGGGTGATCTTGGGCATGTCACTTCACCAATCTTGCCTCAGTTTTCCCCTCTGTAAAATGGGGATAATTGTACTTGCTTCCTTGGTAAAGCACTTTGAGATCTGCTGATAAGCACTGTATAAAAACTAGGCAGTAGTAGCTGATCAGAAGAGTAACATTTAAATGGCTTTGGGTTTGGGTGATGTTTTTGGGATCCTCACAATGACATGTCAGACTTTTTATATGATGAGCTAGGTGAAGAGTTACTGGTCTCGGTGGAATCCCATTATTGTGACATCACTTTTTTTTTAAAAACCCTTTATCTAATTTAATTACTATCTCATCTCCTGCTCTTCACCACACATCCTGTTTCATCTGCCTGTTGAGAGTTAGATCCACATGCTTAGTCAATAAAATGTTTAAGAAATTATTTGGGGGGGTTTCCTAGTTTTTAAAGCTCTGAATATTCATGGAACTAACGTTTTGGTTTATTATGAATCATTCGTGGGAGCCAGGAGAGGCAACATTTGAGAACTGCTATGATATGTGAGTGTGGGAGAGCAAGAGAACATAGCACCAAAAGACAGACTCTTGCCAGAGCTATTGCTTCTGCTGCTCATGACAGAGGTTCCTAAATCTATAGTTAAAGCTTTCACACCCATTGTTAAACTCAGGGGCGGAAAATAGCACATATAGTAAAATAGGTTACTCTATGTGCATGCTGCTTAAAAAGCATCCCAGAGTGATTATTCTGCATGAAAACGCCCTTGCTGATTTCACAAGAAATGTGAGACAACCCAGCCTGCCGTACATCTGCCTCAGGCTCTGAATCGCTGAGGGTTTTTACAGAAACGCTTTGAGGGAGGCATCTCTGACAAAAGATAAGAACACCAGAAATAGCACCATCACTCCCCCTACTTCTGATTTTTGCTAGCTAAGCAAATAATTTAGAGGGGTTTTTCTTTTTTAATTAAAGAGAGATTAGACTTCTGTAGCGTGGACCTATCTTAAGTACTGATAGGCTCCCATTGAAGAAGTACCTACACACCTCACAATATTGTAATATGAGATAGGGAAGTACTATTATTCCCGTTTTTTTACAGAGGGGAACTGAGGCATAGAGAAACTAGCTTGACCACATTCCCCCTGTGATAGAGCAGGAACATGTATTGAACCATCATTCCTTTCTGTTTTGATCTAGAGTTGAATTTTGAACAGCCAAACATTCAGAGGTGTTTGAATAAGGGTTATTGCTCCAGCCATTATAGGCAGGGTTCCGGATTTAAATTCCAAACACCCCTCAATATTAGAGCAGGAAAGTGATGGATTCAGGAGGATGTTAGCAAAGCCCGAACATTTGAATGTTGCTGGAAAGCAAGCATGAAAGGCTTTTAAAAAGAAAGGAGTCAAAATACGATTTTGAACTCAACCAAACACTAGTGGGAAAATGTTTATACTATTTTCTCATCTAGTCATTAACCTGTTTATCATCCTTTGGAAGATTATATAATGAACATATGTTAATTCACTTGTCCTTCTCAGCACTACATTGTATCCCAAGAAAATACATACAGCTATAAGCATTGTTAGGCCTCTGATAATATGCAAAACAAGGATTTTGCTGTTATAGCTTCCTGTGAAAGCTGGACAGACCACATAGACTTTCAAAAAAAGGAAGTGCACTCTCTGAAGGACAGAAACATTTTTTGCCACACAATATTGCAGTACATGCTCTTTACCAGACTTGCAGACACTGAGTTGCTGAAGCTATGGTAAGTACAGAACTTTCTATTCATTTACTTTTCATACACACATGCATATGACTTAGAACTAAAACTACAGTGGACATGACTGTGAAAGTTGCTGTCTGCTCCCAGCAATTTTCATTTCAGTTCCCTGCAGTTGAACTTCCTGCTGTTTAGTGAATGATGAAACTTTCAAATTTCTTTACTGTCTCTTCCCAAGGCCTGGTGTACACTTAAAAATTAGAGCAATGTGATGGTCACTCAGAGCTGTGAAAAAAAATTGTGCCCTAAGTGCTGTAGTTAGGTGTAGATGCAGCTAGGTCAATGGAAGAACACTTCCATCAGCCTAGCTGCAGCCTCTCAGAGAAGTGGATTAACTACATGGATGGAAAATTCCCTTCCGTTGAGGTAGGAAGCATCTACATTATAGCGTAATAGTGGTACACCTACAGCACCATAGCAGTGCCGCTGTAATGTAGATGTGGCCCAAGTGATCTGTACAGCAAAGGGTGTATTTTACTGATTCTAGCATTTGGAATTAAGAAAGAGAAAGCAATTGTTTCCTTCAAGAATAAGCAGGAAAAAAAATGTGGTGTATCTTAGGGAGTCCAATGCCAATGTGAGTGTGTAGCAACAGCCACACATTGGAAATGGGAATGAGTCAAGCACTTTAATTAGACCTCCAGAAAGCCTTTCCAGTGTCCTAATCTGAAATGTAAGAACATTGTAGCTAAAAAACTTAAAAGCATTTTATGTGGCTATACAATAGAGCTGCACATTTTAGTAATCTTAGATGTGTTTCCTTAAAAATAAAACTTCAATAGAATACAAGTCTTCTGTATAATACTATAAAGTTTACATTGTTTAGATATTTTATTAGGAAATCCTGATCAATGATTGGAGCCAGGAGATGGTGGCTAGGGAGTGAACAATATGAAGTCTGAATGAGAGTAGCTTTTAGTATGGGCTACCTTTTCCTCTGGGGATGATGTAGAAGTACTGTGAGTATCTGAATGTTTTCATCATGGTATATATATATGCAAACGAAGCAATCTTTCATTAAGGGTAATGATTCTGTAAGATAGATTCTTCATTTGAACACTTCCATGTCAGTGCAATTGTGTGAAATGTGTAAACAGATTAACACAATCTGAAAGACTCTGATCTGGCTCCAAAGTCTGAACACCCCAAAGTTCAGGGGGATTTGGTTCAGGTCATCATATAGAGAAAGATGATGCATAAATGTTCAGATCCAGATCCAGGTTTATTCTGCACCACCACCACCACACAACGTTTGGAATTTATGGATCTGGGCTTTTGGTTGAGCCCTTCTCTAATGATGAAATCTTTCATGAGTCTGAGGAATGGCTTCAAAGGCTTAGAGTAAAATTTGGGATATGTAAAAATGGCATTTCTTATTCATCACTAATTTACTTTGATTTTAATTACTAGTATTCATGATAGTTACTATCTAATATCCAAAGGCAAAATTCTGCTCTGTTACACCAGTGTAATTTGATTCAAACTCACTGAAGGTAATTTACACTAGCTTTACACAGGTGTAACTGGGTGGAAAAATTGGCTCTAAATTTGTACAAGACTAGTATCCCACAATCATAACACATGTCAATTTTCTATTTATTGCAGAAATTCCACCCTTATCACTAGAGCTAGTCAATAAAGCCCCCAAATTTGCATGTACCCCTAGCACTTGCAAATCTCCATATTTAAATGTGTGTGGCTGGCACACAGCTACTCTATTGGCACAATTCAAATGTCTGGTTGCTTACCCAAATGGGGTTGTTTCAGTGTAGGGAGTATGAATGCAAGTATGGGGAGTGCACCAGTTGTTCTGTGCTCCAATATAGTTTGAAAATAAAGAACAAATAACAGGGCCACTTTTTTCTTTAAAATTAAAAAAAAAAATTCTCCAAGTTGCTCGATCTGAATCCAGATTTCACTGGCAATTCAAAGTAATATAAAATAACTATGTGCATGTTTATGCTAGATTTATCTTAAACTGACAATTTTATAATACTGTTTCAAAGATACTGTTTTCACCTCTTCTGCTGAGCATCACAAGCATCCCAGCAATCTCTCAAAGGCAAATAAGCAATATTCTGCAAAGCTGCAGGAAGTGGAAATGAACTAAGGCATGAGATTGATAGATCTAGGAGTCCACTTAATCATCTAATGACCATGACCCAATATTGGCATTTGCTGATGTTTCAGCACACACCAGTAGCCATGGTCTGGAAGCATGCAAAATGTTTTTCTAGGGGCTCTCCCCTAAGTGACCCTGTCTAAAGTAACAGAGGGTCCCGTGGCACCTTTAAGACTAACAGAAGAATTGGGAGCATAAGCTTTTGTGGGTAAGAACCTCACTTCTTCAGATGCAAGTAATGGAAACTTCCATTACTTGCATCTGA